TTAAGATAATTGTTAAACAATATGAAAATCAATATGAACAAGTTGTTAGAGTTCATCCGAGGGTAAAATACAAGAATCGTTCAGCAAACCAATTTGTATGTTACAAGTCAGACATCTTATCCATCACATTTCATCGAGACCCCAAGCTCAAAATTAATATGGTTCCCAAAATTCAAAACGGTCGCCAAAATGTCTGCTGAATATTATTAAATATTCACATACCCATATATCTCTGTTGAAATTTCCAAAAAATGATATTCTAATAAATTTTGTGAAATATTAATATTGTAAATGGACTGTTTTCTTAAATAAATTGATTTTTTTTATAAAAAAGAGAATTAAATAACAAATGTTAAGCCAATTTATAGTTAAAAAATGTATAAAAATTGATCGAATTTATTACCAAAAACAAAGTTCACTTTTGCTGGCGCTTTAAATGAGCTTTCAAGTACACACAACGACCATTAGTAGACTAGTTTATTATATACAAGTATTTTGTCATTTTACAAAAGTTTGTTACATTGTCATACTCGAAAAGTGGATTGGGTAAAGAGACTCTATTGCAAATAATGGTAACACGCTGCAACTGTGCAATCCCAACACAATCATTAAAGTGAAAATACATAATTTAAAATGATACTGATGTTTGTTTAAATTGCAGATTTATAAATAAAATAAGTATAATGTCTCATTTTTATATGTCTAAATTAACTAAAATATAAAACACACAAAACAAATATCATATCCCTTTTCATTGGACCTGTGACATAATTTTCTAAAGTTGATGGGATTAAATTCAAGGTTTTGATGATTTCTTACTATAGCCATGATGGTCCTGAAATCGCTCACCTGTATATAAAAACCCTTCATGACAAGGAACATTATTAAGAAAAGCAGATATGAAATATAAATTTCAGACTGATATCACAAATTTTATATTTGTATATGAAATGGTGCATTTTTAAAAACATCACATTTTAATATATACATTTAAAGAAAATCAATGACCTCCCAGGGCGGGTCCAATTTGACCCCAGGGCTTTTATTTGGATAAACTTGGTAGAAACCGATTAGATTATTAAGTTTTTACCATGTACATATAGATAAAATTAATGACCCCTGAAGCGGTGATTTTATTTGAACAAACTAAATACAAACTTTGAGATGTTTTATGCCAAATATCTAAACTCTTACTCTTTTGTTTATTTTAAAAGAAGATATTTTAAGGTTATTTTTTCCCTTTCGGTTGCCATGGCAACCAGAATTCTACATGGAATTTAATTATTTGAACAATTTCAAAGGTGGTCACCAATGAAACATTCCTGCGAAGTTTGGATGAAATTGGCTCAACGATTTATGAGAGCTCGTTTAAAATAAACTTTTACGGGTGGACGCTAAACGAAAAGTGCCCACAAAAGCCCATCATGTCACTTTGTGCCAGGTGAGCTAAAATGGAATTCAGTTTGTTCAAATAAAATCCTTTGGGTCAAAATTGACTCCGGCCCGGGGGTCATTTATTATCCTTATATGTATAGATTTAAAACTTAAAAATCTTCTTTCAAAAGCATAACGAGTTGAAGCTTAGATATTTGGCATGAAACATCTTATAGTGTGTATTTAGTTCACTGGGTTTAAGATTGGCCCCGCCTAAGGGATCATTGATCTTTCTTATATGCACATGGGTCATTGATCTTTCTTATATGCACATGGTAAAAAACTTTAAAAAATCTTTTTAAATACCCAAATAGGTAGAACTTAGATATTAAGCATGAAACACCTGAAAGTGGGTGTCTTCTTGTTAAAGAAAATCCATGGGGGTCAAAATTGACCCCGGCCCAGGTGTCATTGATTTTCCTTATATGTATATAGTAAAAATCTTATTAAAAACCCCCAAATTGTTCGAGCTGAAATATTTAGCATGATCGAAACATCTTCTACAGGGGTTTAATGCGAGTCGAACTCGTGACTTATCACTTAAATGTGAAAATAACCTTTCTAGACGACTTAACAAAACAATCAAAATCCCGCGCTTTTGGGAGGTTTCATGTTTGAATGTAGATGTAACTTCCTTATAAAAAAAAAACGGTATAGGCCATGTCTTTTGTTTTTTTTTGGGGTAAAATTTGGACTTGAGTAGATTTTATTGTCTTTGGTATCAACTTGAAAGATTCTCGCTAAAATGCCTGACGATATTTGAAAACAAAGTGGCTAAGTTACCTTTAACAACTTTGAGAAGTTGAGAGAATAATTCTTGGTTATGTTTGACTCTGTATTCTTAAATTGGTGCATCATTAAAAATCAGTCATAACAAAACCTTAAAACAATTTTTCACGTCCTCCCGGGCTCTTTGCCGCTGGTTCTTGTTCCTTGGTCGTGTCAGGGTTGCGTTCTTTCCTTGTTGATCTTGTTTATCATTTTATTAAAAATTATAGCCCCCGGGTCAAAATTGGCCTCGCCCCCGGGGGTCTTTGAGATTTTCCTTTTATGTATATAATAAGTAAAAACTTAAAAAGTCATCTTCTCTGTTTTGACAAATAAGATAGAGAAAAACAGAATCCCAAAAGAAAGCCAAACACGACAAAATTGCAAATGTTGCAGGCTCGGTTTGATTGAGCTTGTTCATGGACGTTACTGCTAATCGCATGTCCCCTAACATCGGCTTAAGCAGAAGGCTAAAGGTTAGATATTAGACATGAAACATTGTGAAGAAGACCTTAACAACGATTATTCAAATTATTGCCCTTGGTTCAACTCCGTCCCGCGAACGGGGGTCTTTGAATTTCACTATGCACATGTTGTATAAGAGAAAAATATCTGTTTGTAAGAAAACCCAAAGAGCTAGAATTTCTATATTTTGAATGAAAAATGTTTAGGTGGATGTTTGCCAAGTTCGTTCAAATGTTAGCCCTGGGATCAAATTCTGCTTTAGGGTCACTCATTTTACAATGACTTACTATATCATATAGGCATCAAGTTTGGCTCCCTTTGATGGAATTAGGTAAATAAGTATGATTTTATCATTTTTAGGGCTAATTTAGATACGTAGAAAATATTTATCTTATATGATTTTTTTATAAATCTTCCTACCTACAAATAACTGCAGTATATAAAGAAAAAAAATTCAATTTAAAAGCTGGTGGAAAATTTAATTAATAGGAAATTTCAAGACATGGTCCTGTTATGAATACTACCCAAATTTTCTTTGGGTTTTATAGGGGGGAATACACCCAAATTTACCCCATTAATTTCTGATAAAATCGAACTAAACTATAAGTTTAAAATTTTTCCTTTTTTAATTTTTTTTCCCTTACCCTGTAAAAGTTTTTTTAAAAGCCGTTATGTCCCATGAATTATGTAGAGCTTCATGGGTAGAAACATCCCAGGGGAAATTTTTAAAAATTTTATCAAAAAATTTTCCCAGTGCTTTTTGAGAAGAAAGGGGTTTTTTTTAAAAAAGTTTAAGAAATGACAAGGTAACACCCTTTTTTTATCTGATAACTGCACAAATTTTTTTAAAAAACAAAAAAAATCCAAAAACACCTAACTTTAACCCCCAAAAGCGCAGCGAAGATTCGACGAAAGTATGGCAATGAAAGGCAACAGTGCGTGCTTCTTAATAGATATGTTAGTCGTTACGAAGTTAAAGTAGAACATGCTTTATGCCAATTTAAACAATATAAAAGCATGTGCTCAATTTGGAGACACTCGCGTGATTTACTTACGGTTGTTGTTAGAATTTGTGTGACACACTTGTTTGTCGAAAGAACAAAACATGTTGGTCTAATTGATAAACAATTTAAAAAAAAAACTGAAATATTGTCAAATTTTACTAACAATAACATATCACACAAACTTTATTTGTTTACGGATTTTCCTAGTCCGTTATCGTCCGCTCTAATATATTACCTAATCAAAAAGGTGTATGATGAACCCATATACTAGAATAATTGAGAAACTAATAACGTGCTTGTTCAATTACTTCCCGGAAATTGTGTTGGGCAAAGTATGTATTAGAACCTGTCAAATTTATCAGCGCTGAAATAGTTTTATATTATAACTCTGACACGTTTGGAGCTTAATTTACCGTCTAGGCAATACATCACATTTCATATTTCAGTCTCGGAGAAATACATTCACATTTTAGTTTCGGACAAAAAACATGACGAACTGCTACAATAAACGAAGGCTTTTATAATATTTGTGAGACAATATTTTGCAAACACATACATGTATTGTATATTGTGAAATATGTCTTTTATATCAGTAGCAAGAAAGGTTTGAATGAAGTTATATTTCTTATTTGACTTTCTACTTTAAATAGTCAAGATATATACAGAGCTCATAACGCGTCACTAATGTTTGCAAAACATAAAACGGTATTGGATTTTCTTTTTACATGGATAATTCTTTTTTATGCCCCCGGGCATATAGTAATTGAACCGTCCGTCCGTCTGTCTACATAACACACTAACTAATCAACACGAAATATAGGATATTGGCAAACTACGGCCTCTTTTTCTTTCCAGTTATTGCCCCATTGCACTTAAAATGAACAATTGGTTAACCTTAAACGGCCAGTTGGATATATTCTGTTATATATTAAGTTTTATCTATACTAATGGCTTCATAATAAATGTACTTACTTAGTACCAAGTAATATAGCTGTGCCATCCATTTTCCCCAGTTATTTCCCTTTTATCACTTTGAAAATAGAACCTTGTATGGTTAACCTATTCAGGCAAGTTAGATTTATCTTAAATATTTTCTAATTACTTTATTTGTTTAATGATATCTTTCATATTTGGTAGGTGGTCCTTAAATGGTCCTCTAATTATAACTTTTTTTATGGAGTAAGGGGTCTCTAGGGTCAAGGTCACTGGTGTAAAAAAACAAACAAATTTAAACATTTTTGCTCATACAGCCCTTATTTTTAGTTTGTATATGTCACGTGATCAATGGAAAGAACATTGGTTTTACGAGCTCATACATATAGGGCCCGTAAGTCTCGTTTACTTTCACTTTCGATTTACCACTTCCGGGTACATCGGCAGACTTATTTACCGTTACGCATATAGGTAACCCGAAGAACTCGAGGGATATAGAAGTTAAATTTGTTTTGGTCCTCTTCAGATTTGAAGGAATGGAAGCACGGGTCAAAAAATGCAGGTAGGTCAATTATCTGACGGAAAAACGAGGGATTTATAGAGTTAAATAAAACTAGTTTATTTTCGGATAGTGACAATTGTTTCGGATGTTTTGTCACGGTAGTGAATTCTAGTTGTTTAGCTTTTAGTATTGTTTTAAAACTACTGATGTGAGAAATTTATTCAAACCATTTTAACTTATTGAAATAAACAATTGAGAAACACTTGAATTCTAGTATATTTTAAAGTTATACAAAATTCGGACATTGAACAGTAATTCGGATATTTCATCCCTTCCATTTTATCAAGATTTCAATTACTTACATTAGTATAATAAATCCAGGTCCCAAGTAAGAGTTTTGATAATTAAATAATTAGATGGATAGATCATAAATTTTATGCAAAGTTTTATAGTATTGTTCCATTTCTAACTATGGAGAATAGTATCAAGGCACTAACACTTATTTTTTTATTCTCTTCCTTTTTCAATTATATATACATGTTAATTTGGTACCTAGCAAATTATGATTGAATTAAAAAAAATGTAATATTTGAATAAACCATTTCAGATGTGTAGACAGGGGGTATATGACAAGTATAGAATATACAGTTGTTCACTATGGACCATTAATCAATAGTTTGCACTGCCTATGATCCTGAAATATCTATACAACAAAGGTAAATACATGTAAAATAATTGATTAATTTTTAGTTGAGATCGGAAAGATAAACAATTATCAAAATATTTTAATAATTTTTGGATTTCACTACATGATAATTGAAAAACAGTCATGTTTCACATTGAAGAAGATCAATATTTTTGACTGTTATATATTACATGTATGTGTTGTTGTTTATCTTTAATGTTTATTTACTTCAAATATGAAATTTTCTGTCAATCATGTCCAGCTTATTAAGACTAATGTAAATATCATTTCTAGTGTTTTACTTGGTGAAATATATTCAGGTCTAACATGTTTATTGATTTTTCATTCTGCAGATAAAAAGGAAAAATATGAAGGAGAATTTGTTCATGAAGACCTTTATTGCAACTACCATCTTCAAGTGCCTTAATTTGAGAATGATATCAGAGAACACACAGTTACAGTGAAATATTAGTTTAATATAAGCCACTGAGAATAGTCAAATGTACTTTCCTGAAGAAGATGAATGACATGCAGCACAAAAATCTTGATGTAAAAGAGTATGTGTTTTATGGTGTTTGACACTATGATTCCATAATGTAGTTATCTTGTTAATGTCACAATGATAGAAACAGAGTAAAATATCCACATTTCATTGCAGTTTTAAGTATTAAAACTAGATGTTCTATAAATACCAAAGTAGAAAACACACCAGAGATAAGGATTTTCATGGAATCACAGTAGAGTCATATGCCATTATGGACATTAAATGATAATGAAGTAAAGATGAAAAAGAAATAGCAAAAATATTATATATCATCTACAACTAATATTGTGAGGTAATCATTTTACGGCTGCCACACGGCACTTGACACCTGCTTTTGTGAAGTACAAAATTCTGGAAACAAAGTAAAGTTACATTGTCCAAATAACTAATAATTAATAATTTCAAGTGCGCATGCTTTCCTGAAGTTTTTCTTCCAGTGGAATATCAGTGTGATATAGTTGCAAAGCAGTGCACTATAAATTGTGTAAAAATAAAAGTTAATCAAACTTATGAACTGTTTTTTTGTTTCTACTATTTGGCATATATTTATAGCAGTGCTTGATCATAAGGGTTCATCTGCAAAATAAGTGTCACTGTGTACTTTAATTCTCTAACAGCAATGGCTAGATTGCTTGAATATGCAAGCATTGACTATAGTAAATACTATGCATGTCATTTGAATTTTGTCTGTCCTGAAATCGAAACAGACACTATCTAAATAATATTGATGAAAAGTTTTTGACAGCTCTTCAATGACTACATTTACACATATGTACATGGTCAAAAGTTAAAAGCATTGACAATTTTGAAACATCCCAATGGGTATATTAATGTACCAGTGATGTAATTGTTTTGTATCAAGTGCAAACCCTAAGTTTTGCTTGTTTTGTATAGATAATTCACTTTTGGTCAAATGTCAACAGGTTCAATACATTATAAAACAGGTAATTTGAAACCCAAAGATGTATATGGTATGTAATAACTGTCCCTCTGACACTAAAATCTTTCAAGGAATGCAGAATTGCAAGTCTTCTCAAATTTTGTGATTAAGAGACAGACTTGGGCTTTCAAGGACTAGCAAGCTAGTGTTTTGCTACAGAATACTCAACACAGACTGATGAATTGCATTAATATTGTTTACTCTGGTATTACTACCTGCCATGTACAATGCAAATCATGGCTTTTCTCAGAGCAGTGAAAGGCTATTACTGGAAGGAAATTTACTCATCTTGCCTCAGAAACAAGTTTTTCTTTGAGATGATTTTTATGATATTTAAATGATGGTTATAGATTACATTACTTTTACAATTGCAGTGATAATGGTGATAGTATGAAATGAAACTCAATCAAGATAGAAACATTTTAATGCAGATCATTTATCTTTTTACCATTTTTGTCACCTTATGAGTCTATTTAAAACAATTTTATCTTAACTGTTTTGAAACTACATGATGCCTGGTTGAAACTGTTTTGGACAGCCATTTGCAGAAGATAAATTATCTTTGAATTATTAAGTTAATACAAAGTTACAAATGACAGGTTATTTATTTCTAACAAAGACAGGTTATTTATTTCTAACAAAGACAGATATTTTGTTTAACATTTTTACACTGACATATATCTTTGAAGTGTCTTCAACCTTAGTTTTTATTAGAATACAAACATTCAGTCAGACAGTTTACACAAGACATGGAGCTTTAAGAAGCTTTAATTCAGTCAAAATCTGTGATGGACTGCCATGTCTCTAGGTACCACTATGTACTCCAGGACTGTGTATGGACATTTCCTTTCAACTATGTCTGGTGGTATCACTATTTGGTTTCTAATCTGATGGTGAACACTCCAAAATAAATCAAGAGCCATGACAAGTACTCAAGATCCAACCATGAAATCACATACCTGCATATAAAGAAAATTTATCATGAGTTGAAACAATAATAATTGGTCAATTCAATCATTTTCATATTGTCATGAATAGAAAATAATGTTGAAAAGGAAGAAACACTTCTTGGTGTCCTATTTTTTGTAGATTTGCTTTGACAACTGATCTTTAAAAAATTGTGATAGTGACTAAGTTCTTTTAACCATTTACTGAACATGATTTAACTAAAAAATATGACACACTTACTTGAGAAAAATACTTTAAACAGTATTTAACATGAATTAACTACATATGCCATACAGTTTGTTTATTTAGCTACACTGTAATTATTTACAAAAACGAGAACATTATCTTATACAAGAATATTTATTTTTCATTAATGTAGTTGAAGTAGCTTTAAGTATATATTCCTTACCAAAACGATTTTACAGCAGAGCATGCATGTGTGTTTACATCGGATACCAGTTGACGTCTTTCAACTCACCACTTTCCTCAGTCTTAATATCTACACGAGCAAAATATTTCATTAAATTTTATGACAATTTAAATTGGTAATATACAGATTGACTGTTTATGCTTTATAAAGATAATAATAATAATAAATAATATTTTCAGTTAGAAGAAAATATATTCAACTAAAACACACTGATAATCATATTGAAACGTTTTATCCGAAATATGCGCTGTCCGAAATTTCTAAACATTATATACTTCTGAGAGATAATCAGGTGGCGCTATAGAAAATTGATAAAATCAAATTCACCAGTCTGAAGTCAGATGCGAATGATGTTGTATCATATAACAAATTTATTAGATTTACATGGACATGAAAAATATTACAACATTTATTGCGATAAACTGAATTCGAAATGACACACCCACCTGAAGATTATACGAAGTTGTCTTTCATTGATACTTGTTCACAAGATGAAACCATTTGCATTTCGTTACAAAACAAAACACTCCAATTTTAACATATCCTTTGCTTTTCCGTGTAAGTTTTACTTTCCCACCGGCATACAAGTATTACCCAATATAGATAAGCAATGTTGTTGATATTTGTTTGTACCCGGAAGTGCAAAATATCGTGAAATCTCGCAAGTCACATGACGAGACTTACATACCCTATTACATTTATTTGCACTTATTGAAATAGGCAATGGAAACTATTGCATGCAAGGTCAAGTCTTTGTAACTGGCGACCTGAACTATAAAACATATAAGGAATCTGATTGTATAGAATTTTAATAGATAACCAATATGGTTTAAAAAAAGCAAAATGAACCCGTGATTTTGTATTCATTCTTCATGCTATTATATTGAAAACATTTTCAATGAAAAAGAAACTGTATGTTGCATTTTTAGACTGTTGATCGAGAATATTGTTTTTTACTTTTTTGACCAAAATTTAGACAACAACTTAGAAAATATTAAAAACAATATTATTATACCTGACCTACCTTACAAAAATTAAAAAAAACTTGTTAAGTGAAACTTATTGGAAAACTGTTCAGAATTAATGTAAATTTATATATTATGCTAAACTTCTGAGAAACTAACACACATTCAATGTTATAAGCTCTCCAGAAGACCTTTGACAATTACTATAATAATTGTATAAGAATAAGTAAAACCCTTACATTTCCATTGTATGTAATGTTTTGTTTGCTATAGATATGTCACATGTTTTATGCATTAGATATATTGAATGAATTGATTATATTCATGTCTAATACAAACGGCGAAGGGAGGAATTCTTCCTTTGGGTTTAGTAACGGGTCATTTAGGTCAAGGTCACAAATGTCGAACATTGATGTTTACTTTTTAACAGGTGTATTATCTTTTTTCTTTTGACAGATTTCTTTTACATAACAGTGGGGTCTTTTTCTTCGGATAGATTTAGGGGTCAGTTGGGTCGAGGTCACCAAAAAAGATGTTTACACTTTTGTTTAATCTTTCTTTATGGTCCGATGTCTTTCATATTTGGAAGGAAAATAAATTGCTCAGTATTCTTTCTTCTGATTGAGGGATGGGCAGTGGGTATGCAAAAACATTTTTTTAAATCGTATATGCTCTTCCTTATCAAAGAAATTTAAAAAGCAACAACAAACACAAATAACAACAAGAAACAGCTAATGCGATTTTCAAGTTCCAACGCTCATTATAATTAAAGTGAACGATAAACTATACGATTTTAAAATTTTAATAAAATAAATTTATTCTATCCCAAAACAAAATGCAAAAGCAAAAAACAATCACAAAAAATTGACGAGCAATCGACACTTCCATATCACAAGTTTCAAAAGTGACAAAGTCATTTACTCGTATAACCGGCTCTAGCAACAACAGTTACAATACATCTGCGACACATGGAGTTAATGTAACGTGTCATTGTCGGAACGAGGATGTTCTGTCATTCCTGGAGCAATTTATACTCAAGAACTTGGAGGTCTTGGCGCAACTATACGTTTACGTACGTGACGTCTGAGCACACCCCATTAATGCTCTAAGGGTGAAAGATCGTCACGGTTACACTTGAAAATTGTTTTGTTGCTTATGTTTCGTTGTGATTTGTGCTGTGTGGAGTCTTGCGTTATTTTGTTGGAAACAGACGTCATTTTGTTGATTTACAAAATGGATGACGATTGGATAAAGTTTAAGACATTCTTATGTAACTTTTAGCATTCAGGTTTTCACGAATGATAACAAGATCCCATTTCCATCTTACACCATAACGCTTGCCTGACAGTGGTTGATTGGATTTACGCATGCATCCTAATATCGTTCCCCATGGCATCTGTAAATCCTAGTGCGACTATCTTTGCTATGTAGCATAAACCTCGATTCATCACCGGAAAAAGCGTTTACCCACTGTTGCCTGGTCCACCGACGATAAAGTGAGCATCGGTTCAGCCTTGCAGTTTGATGACATGGTGTCAGGAGGCAGCCTACGTACTAACATCTTGTCCTGATACCACGTTCACGTAAACAGTTTCTCTGTTTTACAAGATATGGACATCCCGTGTTTTTTTGATAGTAACGACAGCGATGCGCTCTGCAGGCCTTGTTCGATTCCCCATCTGAGATGTTTTATGTTTGTTATCTTTTATAAGTGTAGTAACTCGCCGTCTTGGCGCTGTTCGGCGATCGGCAACATTATCTTGAATAAGAAGAGAAACGGTAACCTTAGATAACTAATAGGGTTTACATCAATTGTTTCGTTAGCGTTGTTCCGTGATTTTGAGTGTTGTTAATGTGGTAAGTTTACATTAATATTGACAAAATCACAAAAAACCGGGCCAATTTTGACACTAGGGGCAAAATTTGAACATATTTGTTAGAGAACCTATAGATGATATTATATACTAAAAAACAAAACTCTAAGCCTTGTACATTCAGAATAGGAGATGTTTCAAGTTTTACTATACATGTATGTACATAATAAAAATCAATGACCCCACAGTGCGGGGCCAATTTTGATCCAAGGGCTGTAATTTGAAAAAGGTCCAACACACAATGTTTCATGCCACATATCTAACCTCTAGCCTTTGTAATAAGAGAAGAATAATTTTTAAAGATTTTACTATATTGATATAAAATTTTATTACCCTTCCAGATTTTTTTCGACTTTTTTGATTGGATATTGATCACCCGAAAGAAATTGATATAACCGAGCCAGACGGGTAATATACACACTAAATTTCCCCGTTTGGTACCTAACGTTGTAAACAACTTGCGCTGAGGTGATGCGCGTACGGTTCGATTTTACGCGGTGTAAATTCCGATTTAAAAGCACTTTTTAACTGTCAAATGATCAATATTTACCAAAGTAGAGTAATGATACATATTACCATCAGTGTCGAAAACAAATATGACATTGTGAAAGCTTGATATTAATTACAAAAAGTGCGTTCAATAGACTACTCCTTTTCTCTTGTTTACTTTCGTAAGGTACGGGAAAAATATGTCATGTATTTATGTGACGTCCATGTTGTGACGAAGAGGTCTCCTAAAGGGAATCTTATTTCGACGTTTCATTTGAAACAGCAATGATTTTTTTAAAAATCGTCTAAACTCGGCAGGGGAAGGGTAATAAAATTATTATATTGGTTTTGGAGTGATATATAACGGCTCGGGTGATATAAAATCTTAACAGGTTATATATCCACATATATCACTCCAAAACCAAAATAACATATAATGTAAAATCTGTCACCCCTACCCTCGGGCGGAGCCAATTTTGACAGAAGAGACAAAATTTGAACACCTTTGGTAGAATACCTATAGATGAAATTATTTACCAAATATCAAAGCTCTAAGCCTTGTTTATTCAGACACGGATATTTTTTCAAGTTTTCACTATATGTTCATAGTAAAAATCAATGACCCCTGGGGTGGGGCCAATTTTTACCCAAGGGCTATTAATTTGAAAAATCCTGGTAAAGGTTTACAAGACAATGCATTGGCGGGCCAAATTTGACACTATTGGCAAAATTTTAACAACCTTGGTAGAGGAACTATAGAAGATATCATTTGCCAAATATCTAACCTCTAAGCCTTGTACCTTTAGACAAGAAGATATTTTAAGATTTTACTATATATAGTGAAAATCAATGACCCCCGGTCTAGGCTGTGTGGGTTTTTACAAGATGTTTTTCTTTTAAATTTATTCTTATTCCATTTGGTTGCCATGACAACCAGATTTCTTCATAGAATGAAGAAAAACTTTGGAAGCCCTTTACTCAAGGAACAATCCTGCCAAATTTGGTTGACATTGGACCAGTGGTTTTTCACAAGAAGATTTTTTAGAATCTATATTCTATATAACACACACGCACACGCACGCACGCGCGCGCACATGCACACACGGAGGTGAATCGCTATATGCCATCGCAGATTTTGTGGCATAAAAAGGATTGTAACTTGAAACATTCTGTGTAGTCTACGTATTGTTCTCTCAGCACATCTCATTTCTCTCGCTACATTGCTCACGCTCGCTACGGCTTGTAACATCCCAATTGCAGGTCCTCTTTTTCTATGCTTGATTTAGGTGTTTTTACGGCATCATTTAATAAAGTGGCCGTTATGAATACATGTGGGTATTGAATGAAAATTTACATTAAACGATAACGCACGATGAAAGCGATTTTTGACTGACAAATCTTGAATGCTCTCAAGCATGAAACTATTATCAAAAAGTACATGTAGACAAAAACTTTATTGTATAATATTCTTGTGGAGAAACTTTCATTTGTGTACAATTTTTAAAATCAGGCATAATTTTAGACGAGCGTTAGAACCATTAATTAGTATACAGTACATCAGCATTTTCCCTATAAAATATATATCAAATTATATACCAATCATACTTGAAATGTAATTATTTGATGTGTTCTGCAAATACTGTTATTTTTAAGAAATTAGTAACTTTTCTTTACGTTTAGATAATTAGTACTATCAAATGAATCGTATACCATTTCTATGATTCATTCTGTTACACGTAGTTTTTATATGTCTTGAACATATCTGATTTGTTTGATTTAAACATATTTCATTGCAACAAAAAAGGAAAGAAACATACATATATGTTAGGATAGTTACAATATAATAGTATAACATGTTTGGCAAAAGGGTTGACCCACAAGTTCTCCCAAAATGAGCAACTAGTCTTCCTTTGATTTTTTACATCCATAGATGCATATTTGTGTGTGTATGGACCATTTTCCTTAAAACTATGTTTTTGTCTTGTATAAATGTAGCTAGCGGGCACAAACATGTCTTGAGATTTCGCCGTTAAATTAGTTGTATCATATGTAAACATATTTCTTGGTAAATGTGCCTGTTGACTATAAGTTTTGCATGCTAACATATAATGATATAATTTCTTCTAGAAAGGTTATAAATTGTTGAAGAATATAGAATTATTTATTAGAAAAATTAAAACAATTTTTGTTAGAAATACGAATGTATCGCAATGAGCTTAACTATTATAGGGATGAACATTTCCAAAAAGAAAATACATGTATATGAATTTTGTGATATCCAAACAAATTAACAAGGTATTTGCTTTGAAATAAGACAATGATTTTTGTGATCTTATGTGACATTGTACGTATTTTGTCTTGAA